AGGTAACTAACAGGTAACACACAGGTAACCAACAGGTAACACTCAGGTAACCAATAGGCAATAACAGGTAGCACACAGGTAACACAGCAGGTAACAACAGGTAATGAATAGGCAACACACAGGTAACATACTGGTGACATACAGGTAGCGAACAGGTAGCGAACAGGTAACGAACAATTAGAACAAAGTGATGTTTAGTGTTTGTGCAGGATTTGTCAGGAGAAATTAATTCTCATTGAAGATGGTTTAAATCAGACATAAAAGCAGCATCTCATGGAGGATGAATATAAATTAAATTGAACCCAGAACTCCTCACTGGCTGAACATCTGCTGGTCTACAGAGTTTCCAGGAGTTCCCTAAACGCCTCACGGTCATCAGTAGATGCTGAGAGAGCCAATATTAGTGTGAACAGAGTTACAGACGGAGTTCCCTCCCTGAGCCTGGTTCTGTCCGAGGTTTTTTTTCCCCTGTGGGGGTTTTCGGTTCCTTCCCACCAGCAGACTGCTGAAGCTTATAGAGAATCCAGATGTTCTGGATTGTTGGGTGTTTCTGTCTCTGTGAAGCGCTATGAGATGACTGTTGTTGTAAATATGCGCTATACAAATAAAACTGAATTGAATTGAATTGAATTCTAACGCTACATTTACCCGAACCCGGGTCAGGGCTTGAGCCAAATCTTCCTTTTCAGAGTTTCTCTGCTGTCGTGCTGTTTTAAATAAAGTTAATAAAGTTTATCCAAGAACCTTAAATTAGGGTAATGATGTTCTGTCAGACCCATGACCGTTCTGTGTTTGTGTCGACGGTAGAACCAGCTGCAGCCTGATCCGATGTTTACTTCAGTCTGAGGGTAACAAGCGCTATGTTCTTCTGTTGTTCAGGTTCTGTTTGAAGCTAAAAACGCTGCTCACTGTGCCAAGTTTGGAGAAGAGATTCCTGCGTGGAGCTGAAGGCTCACGGCGGTGTCTGCCTCCTTCACTGTGATTGGACGGTTCAGCGCGTTGCCGTGGATACCAGCGTCAGTGGTGCTTTGTGGGAAATACTGGTACAGCATCCCACAGCTGCCAAAAAACTCACTCTGAAAAAAGCAAAAGTCATGTTTTAAATTTTGACCTGCAGCTCGGCGGCCATCTTCATCCTCATCCTCATCTTCACCAGCAGCAGCAGAAGAACAAAAAACAAACTGAATGAGACTCAAAACTCCACATTTCTATGAAGAAAACAAAAAGAGAGAAATTTTAGAGAAGTTCAAACATTTTCACTTGTTTTTATGAATCAATACTTTAAAAACTCACAGACTGGAAGAAAATCGTTCCAGTAATGAAACCAGTCGATCAGCAGGAAGCTCTGGATGGGTTTGGATCAGTCGATTTGTTTGGTTCTGAATTGTTAAAATTGGCTTGTGAAAGAGCTGTTTTGTGCCTGCTGAATCGACTGATTGATTGGTGTTCGGTATTGATCAGAGGAGCTCTGTGCAATAAGGTTCAGACTGTTTGTACTGTTTGTTCGTCTCGTTGCCATTAAACTGGGATCAATCAGACAGGATCAATACTTGTGTGTTCGGTTTCTACACTTAGACATAGAAATTGTTGTCCTTTATTGATGATTATTTAAAGAATATTTTGGCCACTGATGAAGCCCATGATGTGTGACTGAGATTTCCTCAAGCTCCAAGTAAGTGAACCTTTTCAAGTGTTTTTATCTGCTGTGACACACGACACGGCCAAAAGTTTGTGGACATGCCTGCCACTTGTTTATATAGGAACTGTCGACATGCTGTCCACACACTTCTGACTGTTCAGCAGTTTGGTGTTTGACTGTGTCTCCATCTGCTTCATCAGACAGTTTTTCATGAAGGGCATTCTGGGTAATGTAGTAAATGGCAATATGCAGCGCTGGATAAAGCACTGTGAGGTACAAATTCTGCAGTACAAGCAAAAGTCCTGCCTGAGCTGAGTAATCATGAAGTACTGACTGTTCAATGTGTAACATCTGATATTTGATGAATGTGACGTATCGCGTGTGTAAACTGAAAGCAGCAGAATAAAGTAATGTGAAGAACTGCAGCTCAGGTACATGGAGTGAAAGGAGCCAGATGCTGCTGTGAGTCTTTATTGATCAGCTGACTGGTCAGCTTCATGCTGTCATCGATCATGTGACCCGCTGAAGTCCAACGTGGACACCAATCGAAACATAATTCTGTAGTTGTGTAAACACACATAGTCACGTAGATTCACCTTTAGGTACAGAGTCTCACCTGTACTCAGGTCACAGTGCTGGTTGTAGTACTATTGGTAGTACTGGTAGTACTGCTGCAGTACCGGAGCTGCTCCTGCAGTTCCTCTGATCTCCTGCAGGAGGCGCTGCCGAAACTTTCCGGTTTGCTCCAAACGAGCTGCAGGTTTAAACAGATTCTGAGATTCATCGTGTTTCTCCGTCAGATCGTCGCTGCTTCGGTTACTGATCATCAGATTATTGATCAGAACAGCGGCGGAGACCTCCATCCTCCTCCTCCTTCAGCCTCCTCCTTCAGCCTCCTCCTCCATCCTCCTCCTCCTCCTCCATCATCCTCCTCCTCCTCCTCCTCCTCCTTCATCATCATCATCCTCCTCCATCCTCCTCCTCCTCCTTCATCATCCTCCTCCTCCATCCTCCTCCTCCTCCTGCAGACCGTTAGCGGACAGACGGACGGGCTCCTCCGGTTGCAGGTCGGTTGTTTTCCTGTTGTGTTTCGGTTGTTTTTTGTTGTTGTTGTTTGTTTGTGTTACCGGATGAACGCGGCTGCAGATTTTATTTTTTCCTTGTTTTTGTAAACCTCGGAGCTCACGGTGTGACGTCGATCTGTCGGTGCTCTGTGATGTTTATCAGCCGCTGATTGGCTGTCGGTCCGTCTGACGCTGCCTCGTTAGTGTCATGAAACACCTGGAGAACATCTGGAGCGTCACGTTTCATCCGTCTGCGTTGTTTGCTGTCAGTTGTTGTCCTGAACTGTATGTTTGCTGGTGTTTGTCGCTGACTGTGTTTCTTGAGAACGTTGGCAAATGTTTTTGTTTTCTGTCTGTTTGTTGTTGTTATTGTTGTTCGTGTTTGTAGATGCAGGTAAAGACACAGATCAGAAAGTGTGAGTTCAGTGTCACAGTGTTCAGTGATGTTAGGGTTAGCAGCTAACCGTTAGCTGCTCTTAATCATGACTATTGATCAACCTGCTGATCATGTTCTCATTTTTTTGACTGATCGTTTGATCTGTAAGACAAAGATAATAAAATGGTGGGAAATGTTGGGTTTGGTCAGCACCGTGGCCTCACAGCTAGAAGGTCGCCCGGTGAGGACACCCGGGATCTTACTGCGTGGAGTCTCCATGTTCTCCCCGTGCAGCGTGGGTTCTCTCCGGGTTCTCCGGCTTCCTCCCACAGTCCAGAAACATGCTGAGGTTAATTGGTGATTGTAAATTGTCCGTAGGTGTGAATGTGAGTGTGCTTGGTTGTCTGTCTCTAAGTGTAGCCCTGTGATAGACTGGTTACCTGTCCAGGTGAACCTGCCTTCACCCTGAGTCAGCTGGGATAGGCTCCGCCCCCCATGACCCTGGTGAGGATTTAGTGGTTTATAGATGATGGATGGATGTTGAGTTAAACAGTTTGAAATGACACAAGCAGCTTTGCAGTTTATCCATTTCCTGGTTCTCTCTCTCAGTGATGTCGGTGTCGCCCGGCCTCGCCGACCTCTCCCGGCTTTACCAGACCGAGTTTGTTCGCAGTGCTCGAGCTGTTGGCGTGCTCTGGGCCGTCTGCACACTCTGTTTTGCCATCATCCAGGTGGTCATCCTGGTGCAGCCGTCCTGGATTGGCACTTCAGACGTCCAGCCTCCGCTGCCCAGCGGCACCCTGGGACTGTTCGAGGTGAGAAACTCCGCCCATGACCTGTGCCTGTCCAATCACAGCTGCCCTCCAGCAGCAGGTTTTTAAACAGTAGTTAGTTAAACCTCGAGCACCTCATTTGAAATCATTGACATGTCTCTGTATACCTGTATGTCCCTGTGTGTTGTCAGGTGTGTTTGGAGTCTGACTGGCCGGTCCCGGACTGCCGTGGTGGTCTGTCCAGTCTGACTCCGCTGCCGTCGTTCCAGTCGGTTGCAGTGTTGGTGGGCGTGTCTCTGTGGGCGGTGTGGACCAGCGTCCTCTGTCTCTGTCTCTTCAGGTTCTGCAGCGCCGCAACTGTGTATAAGATCTGTGCCTGGCTGCAGCTGACTGCAGGTCAGTACCGGTTTTAGAGACACACCTGGGGTCCGTTTCACAAAGTAGGTTTTGTGAAAATTCTGAGTCTGTTACACCTAAAATGAGGGAAACTGAGTTTTCTGTTTCACAAAGGCAGGTAACTCCATCCAGAGACAGAGGGCTAACTCCAGCCTGTTTCACAGAGAGATCTTACTGAAGACCGGGTCAGTTTCCGTAGCAACAGACTCTATGAACCTGACCTGGGGCCTCATGTACAAAGCGTGCGTACGCACTTTTCCACGCTCACGTTCAAATGTATTAACAGTGAAATGATCGTGGAAATGTGCGGTCCTCCACGCCAACTTCTTGACTGGCGTACGCACCTTTCTACTGCTTTGAGCCGTTGGCGCAATTTGTAGCGACGGCCGGTTCTGCTGATGTAATCGGAGCGACCGACTGCACACACATTGTTATAGAGGCACCATCACTAGATGCATGTGTTTATGTAAACAGGAAGCTCTTTTATTAAATCAGTGTACAGTGCAGGACGGGGGCTTCTTGGTGAGTAAGTCATTTAATTGTCCTAATATTAATGCCCCCGACATGCTTTGTGGCGGACCGGAGGTTCAGCTGACCCCGGGGAGGCTGGAGGAATCCGGCAGGTCTGTGATACGAGGCTGGGACCGGGTCTCAGTCTCCTCCTGCCTCATGTTGGAAAATAACAAACTGAGTAATCTGACATGAGACAAAGTTTTGATTTCCTCTTTGACATCCTGGCATGATTACACATGAACCTGTATGTTGTTTGGCTGCGAGCAGATGATTGTATGAGCCGTGTAGTGAATAAATGTGTGAGTTACACCATATATATATAACTATATATGTATATATATAGTGACCTCGGGGGGATCTGAGTGACCTACGTGTGCTCCCATCACCCCTGTGACAGCAGCATCACCCACAATCTGCTCTAACGGGGTGAGTTCATTCTGGTTTCTGTTATCTGATCCTCAGAGAGGGAATCCCACCTGTCGGCCCTGTTTATACTAATTTGCATATTTAAATTGGGGGCGTGAAGGGGGAGGAGTCTGGTTCTCTAACATGTCAGTTCCACGCTGAGTGAGATGTACAAAGGAAATGTGCTGGATTCAGGCGTACGCTCACTGTGGTTCATCTGGATTTGTTTGTGCGTACGCAGTTTTCTGGATTGAAGCGTACGCCAGGTTTCAGGATGAAATCCACACAAGTCTTTGTACATGAGGCCCCTGGTCAGTTACCGTAGCAACAAGCTCCATGAACTTAACCTGGTTGGGACCTGGTTTGTCTGGATGAACCTCAAGTTTCTCTCTGGCTCCGCCCTCTTTCAGCCACACATGTGATTTCCTCATTCAGTCAGTCAGTCAGTCAGCAGGTGAGTTGTGGTGTAGCCTGGTTCTACCGTCTGTCAAGAACCATTACATCAGAGTCAGTGGGCAGTACCAGAGTCCATCTGAGTCAGTGGGCAGTACCAGAGTCCATCAGACACAGTAGGAGGAGACTTCTTCACTAACGTGTCCTTCTGATAACGACCCCGTGGATGAAAGTGCAGCATTCATTAAATATTGGTCTGGAGATGGTTATCAGACCGCCATAGAGGCTCTAGCATTTCCAGACGGTTCTCTGTTTGAGCAGAACCGTTTCACGTCCCAGTCCATCATCTGCATAGAACCTGATCCGTCCTGACAGGTGCAGCATCACCAGCTGTAGTCCAGCTCCCACATCCAGCACATACTGTGTGTTGCGCTGCGTTTCTTTGTCCAGTGTGGGAGATGCAGAGCACCTGAGTAACACACCTGTATGCAGGTGTTCAGAGCAGCGGCCTCGCCCTGAACCGGCTTTGACCATCTCTGTGGTTCTCCTGGACATGAAGCTGTCAGAGCATCCAGGAGGAGCTCCACAGGCCTGCAGGTGGACGATGAGGAGATCTGTTAGATTCATTAGATCATGTTCTGCAGCCTCAGACCT